GTGTGTGTGTGAGTGTGTAAGTGTGTGTGTGAGAGAGAGAGAGAGAGAGAGAGACTGGTCTACCTTTGAGGACAGTTAGGTGTTTTCCAGAAACAGTCATCTGCCGACATTGGACACTGGGAGGAGGAAGAACATTCAGGAGCGTGCTGACTGAGAATGGAAACCAGACACCATTAAAGCCAGAAACTTTACATCACGACATTACATTAAATCTATAATCCATTTGGACTGATTTTGTATGCCATTCCACAAAATTCTGTAGTCCTAAAAAACCTGGTAAGTTACAAGTCTTCGAACTCTTTGGTGTTGAAAGAAACATGGTGTGTGTGTACCCTGTGCCTTAAAGGTGCTGAGGTCCTGTCTGAAGGTGTGTGTTGGACTCCTGAGCTGCAGAAGAGTCAGATAGCCATGTTCCCTCACCGCCACCTTCTCCTCCTCCTGACTCCACACAGTCACAATAATCTGATGTCACAGAGAGGCAGCCAAACACAGGACAAGACAGTTCACAAACAGGGTCTTAGCTTTGTACTTTTGTCCATCATTTCAATGTTATTTTACAGTTCACCTTTGTTTTCTCCTTGCCAAATAAGTTAGTCTGATGTGGGGGTTTGTTTCCAACTTGTCTGATTGTCTAACTGCTCGTGTGTCTTGACCTTGTCAGATTTGTCACTGTGATCTAGGGTATAAGCTCTTATCCTCTGGTAGACTTCCAAAAGCAAACTTTTAAAAACCTATTTAACCCTACCTCGTCTAATATTTTAAATAATGCTGCTTGAGGCTGCAGGGATTATGCTATACACTATAGATTAATAGTGTTCTTATCACTGGTTATGTAAGATGTGCAATAAGTGTAAAAGTCTATGTGCAATATGTGTAGTTTTTGGTTGGGAGTTGGTACAGAATGTGCTGTTTTGCTTATGTTTTCCATTATTACACATGGAGGCAGCTATATGAGTGCAGGATTTGGGTCCAAGTCGAACTTTCCTACAGGGACAACAAAAGTATATTGTGTTGTATCGTTGTATCAAATTGTATTGTATAGCATCATATCATGCTGTGTTCTGTCATATTGTATCATATCGTATTGCATCTTATTGTATTATATTATATTGTGGCACATGCCATTTTTGAAACACAGTTTATAAAACAAGAATCTGAATGTCTGTATTTCCAGTGAATTGAATACCAGATAAATCAAGGTAATTCATACATTAAGGGAAACAATATTGTAAATCCAACAATGCCATAAAACAGTCCTGCTGCTCACTGATATCTAAGTATTTTATTCTATTGTTGTATTTTATTCTATTGTATTTTATTGTATTTTAATGTAGCCTGGCTGCCTATGACCGACCCAATTTCCCCTTGCCGGGACTTAATAAGGTCTATCGTAGTCTAACGTCTATCTATGCTATCTAGTCTAGTCTATCTAAAGTCTACTCTATCTATCTATGTGCAACATTGCCCCCAACAGCCTAATACAATCAGAAATATCAAAGGAATAGCTACCACAGGATAAACAGAACGGCTGACAAATGTATTCTGTCTCACAGTAATATCCAGTTTGCATTGTTATAGGTGTGTCTGACCTTGACTTTGAGTGTGTTGACTGGCAGCTTGTCCAAAGAGACAGTGAGACTAAAGATAACCTGGTCATCCAACACCAGAGCAGACTGCAAAAGGATAAGCAGAGGGCAACATGTTAAACATTAAAGACAGTGTTTGTTTTGGGGACAACATGTGAAATAAATTAGCATTCATCATCAGCAAGTGTAATAGAGCTGCAAATTACAATTACAAAGTCATTGTTGGTTAATTAAATAATAATTTTCAATTGATTGTTCAGTTTATAAAATGATTGAAAAATGCCAGTGAGGTCCAAACAGATAAAAAAAAAACAAAGCTTAAAATCATTCATACATAAAAAAGAAAAGCAAACAAAACATTCACATTTTTGAAATATATAATTATATATATATATAAAACAGTACTGCTAAAGCACATTGTACAAGATAAAGCATTACCAGAAATAAAGCCTTATTTTATAGTCCATGTAACAAAATATTTTTATGTAAAGTAATTACAGGGGCTATATGAAAATAATAATATTCATAATAATACATGAAAGTGAACTAAGCATAGATATATAGAAATGGGGGAGATTGTTATATAAGTACATTTTAAATATTTAATTCAACAGACATAATTTGGCTGTTACCCAATAAGTATTGAAATGACGTACCCAGCCATTTACAGACTGGTGCAGACGCTACTGTCTAAAGCTGTAGCAGCCTGTCAGTGTCATCTGTGATGCCTTCAGCAGCTGGGGATCTCCTCCCTGTCTGAAACCTGGCAGGCAGACAGGTGGAGCCCAGAGCTGGTTTAAAGCCCCTGAAGATATGACTGCACTGTCAAGTCTGAACACATCTGGAGTGCAAAGATTACTGCAACAGGCAGACGGAAGGCTGCAGGCGCTTGTGTCATACAGAATCAAATGTAACAGAAGAATAAAGGGCACGTTCAGTGTAGAAAGGACATGTATACATGTCAGTGGTTTGGTTCCTCATCAACTCAGGAAATAGTATGAAGGTTACTTCCTATTATAGTGCAGGTGGCGATGAGTCAGTTTAAAGGTTACAGTTATCCTAAATGTCCTCCAAAACATTGTCATTGTTTTTGCCTTTAATGCAGACTTTATTGGATAGTAAATACAGTGTAGAGAAAGGGGAATCCCCTTTCTATTAGAAATTCTCTAGGCTCTGACTGGTTGTTTTCATTCAGGCAAATACCATTAGGAGCACTACAACAAGGCAGAGGAAACAGGTTGTTTCACAGATTATCTCTCTCATGTACTACTGTCTGGATATAGTTTGAGTTTGAGCAAATATGACAAAAAGTTATTTTCATGAAAGTGACCTATTGCAGCTTTAAGAAGGACTAAATAGTTATTAGTATTGGTCTTTGATAATAAATAAATAAATGAATAGGGATCAAACGTTGATATCAGTATTGGTCTTAAAAATGAAGCTAATTCCGACCATGAGTGATTGCATGTGTGCATGCAGTCTTACCCTAATACTTTTAGAAAAGTGACCTACTGCAGCTTTAACTATTAATATTTCTTACCTTTACCGGTTCTCTTCCGTACTTGGGCCCATCACTTCCCGACTTGTTGTGAACTAGAAGCGGGCTGCACTGTCTGAAAGTCCGGTTGCTATCCGGTCTTCCGCGGTCGTCTGTGGTTCCAAACTCTCTCTCTCCGGGCTCCTCTTCCCCGTCCTCGCTGCAGCTGCTTTGGAGGTCAGGCTGGTACTCACTAGGCCTCTGCTGCCGGCTCTCGGCGACGCACACACTCGCCTGAGCAGACAGGAAACCCGCCAGATCCTTCCAAGGTAAAACACCGGAGCTGTCATCCCTCCCCGCTGCGTTCCGGGACCGCAGAACCAACAGAAACTGGACGCTCTCCCCGAGGTAGACGTGTTTTCGCCGCGGAAGAGTTGTGTACTCTGCCGGGTCTAACAGAGTCGATATTGGAGCGGAAGGAAAGTACATCAAATACTCGCATTGTGATTCCATTGTTACAACAATAAAGAAACTAACAGCTAATACGCCGTTAACCACCTGCTGCAGTGTAAACAAACTGAGACGCATGTATGGTAAAAATACCCGGATGTCAGTGTGTGAAGCAGTCTAATACATTTAACATCGTAAACGGCATAATTAAAGTCACGTTCAAGCTGTACATATCCATCCTCGCTGATTACCTTCAGTTCACAAGTAGAAATACAAGTAACAGGATAGCTAGTTGATGCCCGACAAACAGCTTTCACCAGACCACACTAATCAATGACCGGAAAGCAGAACAAAGAGTCAAGCTTCAACTTTCTGCAGAACCAACCGAAGTACTGAGAACAGAGCAGAGACCGAAGACAACGGAGCACCCCTAACAGACATGGGGGAGGAAAAAAATCGGGGGGGAATACACGAGGGTAGAAAAAAACACCGGATGGGAGAAAAAAACAGGAAAAGTTTAGAAATGTTTGGATATTCTTAGATACAACGGAGTATTAGGGCCATACTAAGAAAATATATATTTTTTTTTTGGAAATTACGAG